GCCGGCCAGCCCGACAACGCCATCGAGCACAGCGACTACAGGGCCAAACTGGCCCAAATCCGCCAAATCTACCACCAGGAATTGGAGAAATACGAACAGGCCTGTAATGAGTTCACCACTCACGTCATGAATTTGCTCAGGGAACAGTCCCGGACTCGCCCAATTACCCCGAAGGAAATCGAACGGATGGTCCAAATCATCCACAAGAAGTTCTCCTCGATTCAGATGCAACTCAAACAGTCGACTTGTGAGGCAGTTATGATTCTCAGATCGCGGTTTTTGGATGCCCGAAGGAAACGTCGCAATTTCAGCAAGCAAGCTTCGGAAATTTTAAACGAATATTTTTACTCGCATTTATCGAATCCGTATCCCAGCGAAGAAGCGAAGGAGGAGTTGGCCCGAAAATGCGGGATTACAGTGAGCCAAGTCTCCAATTGGTTCGGTAATAAGCGAATCAGATACAAGAAAAATATAGGGAAGGCACAAGAAGAGGCCAATCTGTACGCGGCGAAGAAAGCGGCCGGGGCTTCGCCTTACAGTGGCACCCCCACCCCCATGATGTCTCCAGCGCCTCCACAAGACTCCATGGGGTACTCCATGGGCTCCGCCTACGACCAGAGCTCGGCATATGACGCCAGTAGCTGTGGGTACGACCCAATGCACGCACAGGAATTATCGCCCTAATCAAACCTTAATTAATTAAGAAATACAGTTGTATACTAACCCATGTATACTGAATTTTGTATCGTGTACAGTGTGTTTCTGGGTTGAAATTGCTTCAAGTCTTATTTTTATTATAGTTAGGAGTACTTGCAATATATTTCTAGATTATTTTTAGTAGGCGAATTAAGGCGAGTTTTTCTTCAGTATTTTTTGTATATTTATCTATTTTTATTGATAAGGAGCAGCTGGGTGAGGAAAACTTTGCTTTAACGCCGAGTTCTTTCGAAATTTACAGTGCTTAAGTATTTAAATAAATAAATAACTGTAGTATCTGGTTGTTTAATTTCTATTTTGTAATTAATTACATTGTTTTTGTTCAACAATTTAAAATTGCCGCCTTGGTATTTCCAGTTGTGCCACCACTATCACCCAATTGGTCCCCCTATTTACAACATTTCTACGTTACATCTTACTATTACAGTATTGTGGTCTTTGTTTTTTGCGTTTAGGAAAACAGTTGGAATTTACTTTCGCCCAAGAAATGAATATTTTGAGTCAATTTCGTGGGTCATTTCGCTTCGTGTGGGTGTCAGTCCTGCCAAAACAAAAACCGATCAAATGTCAAATTCTTGACATTCGCACTTATTTACTCAATTTTCACCTCAAATCGTCTTACATTTCGCACAATGTGTTTGAAAGTGTCGTTTTCGTCCCCAAATTAGGTGATTTTCGCGTTGCAAACACCCCAAGGTTGTTTCAAATCAATAATGTAGTGACAATGCCTCAGGAGGCGTAATAAGCTATTGAGGTGTCTCGAGTGGCCCCCATTATGGAGGATAGTTTGAGCGTGAAATCAAATGAGTCGGTGGCAACGAGCGAAGAGTTTGATTTTGTCAGTGACAAGCCAACGAATAAAACCCCAACGTTGGATATTAAAGGAGATCTGAGCGAGTTGAAGAGTGCCTTGACGGAGGTGTTGCAGGAATCTGGGAGGAATATGGATGAGGTGGATGCTAAGGAGAAGAAGATTGGTCATTCGACCTTCTACGGGTGTTTGGTGGAGCCGGGGAAGGACCCGCTGTCAAGGACGGGGGAGGACAGTCCGGGGGAAAAACAGGATTCGATTAAGCAGGATTCGAACGAAGAGGAGGAAGGTGAGGGTCTGATAATGATCCAAATGCAGAAAAATTGTGATTGTTGTTATACGACCCTGAAATTTGTGATAAGGGGAATGCGGATTATCTAAATTTATTCATTCTTTGTTATGGTGGTGATGTCATGGCGTGTTTATTTACTAACGCAAATTAAATTATTGTTTGAGGATAATTATTGTTTCAATAATTGAAATAATCGGGATATGATTATTTAAAATATAAAGGCTGTCCTAGAATATTTGGTTTAAATCTAACATAAACTCAATTTCAAACATATAAGGCAACTAGGCAACAACAATTTATATTGATTTAAGGTAAATTGTGTTCAAAATAAATGTTTGTTTAATTATGAAGTAATACGACATGAAGTGAATCAAAGATAATTTAAACAAGTGGAAAATATAGAAACTATGTTTGATAAGTTTATTGACTGTTGACATTTAATTTGACATTTTGTGATAAAGTATGAGTTAATTTCATTTTTGTCGAGTGACTGAGGAAATCAATTTTAATTGACATAAAAATTGAATCTATAATAACAAATTTCGATTTTTATCATTACTTTGTTTACTAGAATGGTTAATGTTTTATACATATTTTTTGCCACTTATTTAATCTTTAAATACCGCAATATTGTTATTGTTACGCGCTACTGCTGGTATAAAGTTAGTTCCTATTTGGGTGAATTAGGTCAAGGTTGTGAGATATACGTTGTCAAGGACTATATTTTAATGTAAATAAAAATTAAACAAAGTGATAAGAATTACAATAAACGTGTATCAGGTGAGTCAAGTTTTGTACTCATTTTTTAAAATATTATATGAAGTCTAAGTAAGATAAGATACCAGGAACTTGGAAGAAATGTTTAAAAAAATATATTTTTTGGCATTTGACATTTTTTTATGTCTATTTAATGATACTGATTTTCTATATGTTTTTTTTTTATAATTATTTAGTAAAGATACAGAAATTATTGTAATTATTGCACACTTCCTTAACTTTTGTGGAGCAGTTTATTTTCTCAAGTTTCAAAATTTTACTTTAAGTAATTGTCTTAAATAGATAATGGATAATTGTTTTTGCATCTACTTTTTATTTTAATTTTTAAAAAATCATTTATTTAGCAAAAAATTGTAGTGTGCAGATATGAAAACATTGTGTATTAATTTTTGTTGTCGTCATGGTAACAAGTTGATTTCCTAGGAAACTATTACTTTATCATTTTAGAGACAATGTAGCCACATCTACATATAAACAAAAATTCTTTATACGGGGTGTTTCAGAACATTTCTCTACCAGCTTTCATTGAATTGGTGTGCCACTTTTTAAGCGCTCTGTATGATAAAAAGTTTTCTATCAATTTTTTATTCCATAAAACTTATAAAAGCCATTTCACCAAAAATTATGTGTTGCAATGTTAATGTGCAATTTTAAATTCAAAAATCATTTCAATTTGAATAAAATCAATTTTTATGTTATTTATCGGGAATTTTAGTCAATTAATGATTTGTTAATGAAGTAATAATAAATCTCCAATACAATAGGACTTAAAAGCCTGGTAACTATAGAAGATTTACGAGTCGATTTTATGACAAATATAAAAAAATTTAACAATTTTAACAAAGGTCATTCTTTTATACAGAATTTATTTAAGTTATTCTAACATATTAGTTTTCTGTAAGATATACATAGAGACAGTCTTAGTTTGCTCATCCTGTATGTATACAGGGATACAGGGTGTTTTGTAAATAGACCAAAATCTCTCGAAGAATTCTTCCTTCAAGCAACGTTAAATTTTATTTTCTTTTTTAAATTGTAAGTTACAACTGTTTGAATGTGACCAATGAAAAAGAAAAATTGTTTATCTCAAAAATGGGAATTAAGTAACAATATTAACAGTTATTACTGACTGCCGCCACTGTTTTGACATTAACATGAGAAAAATTTGATTAGAATGTTCTTGGTCACAGAATACTTATCATATTGAGCAAATTTTGTCTCTGATTAGGTAATTTCTCATCTTTTTAAACAAAATATAATAAAAAAATATTAATAATAGTGCACGTACGTAGTAATCGCCACCTGAGAGATTATTGTTTATTAACATAAACGGTTTACAGGATTTGATTTTAATTTTATTGTACCACAAGAAAAGCGATTTAAATTTTATTTTCTGACCATTAGAAAAATGTTTTTTTAGGTGAAAAATTATTTATAAAGTAGCTATTTTTACCTTATCGTTGGTTTTATTTTCTTTCAACAATATTTCCTGATATTAAAAATTAACAACCAAAGTAACACTACGTTTTTACGATCATATCATATAAGTCATATAACAATACGTTTATTTCTACTATTATTGACCGGTCACAATGTGGGCATTAGCCAAAATGATAAAACCAACACGGGTCAAGTAGGCGTCGTCAATTGTTACCAAAATGAAAAACAAACTACTGTTCCAACTGTTTTTTTGTTGTTACAAAAGTGAGAAAACAAGACAAAAAAAAATATTCAAATCTTTATAGTTTCAGATATCGATCAAGATTGTACGATTTTCGCTGGCGTGACGTATTTGGGCGCCGCCGCTATAAACGCCCCCAAATCCGAAGCCGAAATCCAACGAAACATGACCATATTAAACGAACAAAGTTCGGAACAAGGTATTAAAGTGTCCGTTTCGGTGCCATGCTCATCGCAGGGGTTTGTGGTGTAAGTGTTGCCAACTTTAATTCACACACTATGGCCGACTTTGTTTCTAGTCTATACGACGCCAACTCGAATTCGGTGATTTCCCGTTACGAAATACACCGTATTTTGTTTTACGCTCGGGGGGCTGTCGATGGTAGCGAAGCCGGTTGTTTCGCCTTTACTTGGTCACATGGTGATACGCAAGAATCCGCCATTTTTCAGTGCCATGTTTTCCGATGTGACATAGCCGAAGCGGTGTCACGTGTCTCAGGTTGGTCACATGACCTGTGTCCGATTTATTGATCGATATTCGTTTGTTTAGCTTGTTTTGCGAAGGCGTTTCAAAGAGTGCCACGATCAATGAGTAGTTCAGTCACGTCGGCGTTGGATATGACGGGGTCTATTACAACAATACCTGAAGCCAGGACTTTAATGTATGTGTTTGAAGTCAGTTTGGAGATTAAAGAGGATGATGGGAAGGTAATTTGTGTTTTTGGAGTTGGCAACAGTGTTCAAATGTCACCTTAGGGAACCTTCTCAACTGTGGGGAAAGACAGGTCCGGTTTTAAATTGAAAACAAATTTAGAGAAACAATTGTGTTTGAGTATACGTCAAGTGTCGGATAATGGGCCCCAATTGCACATCGAGCGTTGTTTCGGGGTGCTTGTGGCACCCGGCCGGCATGTGCGTCATTCCGACATGCAACTACTCGAAATGGTACAACTACCAACTTTAAAAAACCAAAATTACTAAATGTGGTTTTTAGAAAGAACAAGTTCCGTCGAATAATTCCTGTACTTTAATTTCGGCAACTTGGGATCCGACCGAACCATCGTTCGAGGCATTAAATCAAGAAACACCAAAAGATGTGAAACAATTCATGACAGTCGCTGTAGATTTAGTGATACGGGGAATACAGGAACCTGTAAGATTTCAAATCGAAACACCGGTACGAATTTTCGGACAAAACGAGCGAAATTTCTGGTATTTTCAGAAGAGGTCGCTTGTGCAACAATTTTTTTTGAATCTCAAAGAGGTAAGTGAAAAAAAAAACTAGAACAACAATAAAATTCTAGTTAATGACCTCTTGTGTTATCAGAGGTTACTGAGAATTTTAATTGTACGGAAATTTATTTATCATTTGTGTTTATTTGAGGTTACAACGTTTTCTTTGTTTTGTAA